AAATACCATCTCCTCTGAGAGGCTTTCTCTGACAACCCTGTTAAAATGCACCCCCCGTCCCATCCTGCCTCAGCCCTTCCCCGTCCCCCTCACCCTGCCTCCTTTTTCTTCAAGGGTCTTAGCTCCACCTGACGTCACACATTTGCTTCCTTGACGGCTGACTTCCACCCACCAAAGCGGGAGCAGTGACTTGGCTTTTCCCAATGACATCCTGAATGGCCAGAACAGTGCCAGGCCCACAGCCAGTCCTCAACAGGCGTGTGTTGAGTGAATGAATTAACTGATTTACGTTTTAAACATATCATTCTGGCTGCTGTGGGGACTATGCATCTGGGGAGTCAAGAATCAAAATAAAGAAGCCCACAAGGGACCTTCACAGAGGTGGAGGTGAAAGGTAGGGGTGGGTGAATTCGAAGAGTGAGAACTGCCGCTCTGGTGGTTGCGCTGCCCCTCGGTGCTGGAAAATTAGCATGGCATGACATCCTCTGAGTTGTGGCTAAACAACTGTTTTCTTCACGTGGGGCTATGAGCTCATAAAAGCAGATACTTTAAAAAGTCGCTGAATTGAGAAATTATTCTTGTGTACTTGGATGTTACTGAGGTAAAAGTGATAAACTGATGCAACTTGACAAAATCTACGAACACTGAAAAATGCACACGCCCCTTGGCCTAACAGTTTCGTTGCTAGGAATTTACTGTATATACTCACAGAAGTATGTCAAAATACAGGCAGGGATGCTCACCCTGTCACTGCTTGTAATATCCCCAAATTAGGAACAAATACCATCAATAGGGAACTGCTTAAAAAAAAAAGTAACAGAAACTGTATATGGCTATTAAATGAGAAAAGAGCATTAAGATATATTGTATGCTCAGAAGGATTCTGTTTTTGTTAAAACACACAGATATAACGTTGATTATATATAAGTATATATGTATGTACAATTTATGATGGAGAAAAAGGGAGGGGGGGAGAAGAATAAATATGGATTTAAATAGAAAGGTTTTCTTTTCTTTAAGATACATAAAAAGCATAAGCAGCAGTAATCCTTTAAAGAGAGAATAGAACGCTTAGGGGTAAAGAGAGAATTTTACTTTCTTACAGACATTTCTGAATGGTTTGATTTTTTTGAAACCTAAATTATTATTTTACTTTGAAAAACGAAACAATATCCCTTTGAGATAACTAGCAGAATAATCAAGAACATATGTCATTACTTGCTTTCTGATTTTATGGACAGAAGCTCCAGTGATTCATTCACACACACAATGAATGAACACATGCACACAACATGCATGTGCGTGGATGAAAAACAGAGCTGGCTGTGAAGCCTGCGGGCACGGGGCGGCTGACTGCACGCACTGCACTATGCCATTGTCTACAAGGGACTTGAGCACCTGACCCCTGCGGGTACCAGGGGACGACCGTACTGCCGAATGCAGTGGGGCACAGCCCTTTGACTAGAAAACAGTAGACAGGGCCCATGCTCCCAGGTGGCTTTCCATGCTAGAGCCCACGTTTAATTTGTGATTACACAATCTGAAAACGATTTTCAACAAAGCTTGATGGCCCTTTGCTGTCATTACTTCACTGACCAATTTTTGTTCTCAAAAAGAGCCTTGACCTGTTCCATTGCTTCACAAGGGAGCATCTTTTAATCTACGTTAGCTGTGCTGCCATTTAATGTTAAATAAATTCTATTCCATTTCGAAGGAGTAATCTATCCTCTTATTAAAGCTCTGTTAGCTTCTAAGAAAAAGGTAACATTCGAAACTTGGTGTGTTATCGCGTCTCTATGACAGAATTTATTTTACTGACCTTATACTCTAGGGGTTTAGGCAATAAAACAAAAGTTACCCAGTGAAATGCAAACACCTCATCACATATTCTGAAGAAAAGTAGTGTATGTTGCAGATTTTAAAAAACTACCTTATATTCAAATTGCTCTTTCAAAGGCAATTAATTACCCCGCCTTTACTTCAGTCACCAACCTACTCTGGGCTGTAACAGTCTCTCTAAACATTAACAAAATGGGGGTGGGGGTTGTTTACAGAGTTCACCTGCTCTAAACTATTTCTAACCTCAGGAATGTGAAATGTTTACCACATCCACTTTTTTTTCAGTTGTAAATATATTTTTAAAGCAAGTATTCTAATTACCTTTTACTGGGAAGTCACAGAATAGGTATTTTGCAAGTCAATTCAGGAGAAAAACAGAAAGCCTGATTAAGCCCAGCTAGGTGAAGTGAAACACGGCAGGTCTAAACACAGACAGAGCCTAGACTCACCCCGGCCCCCCGGGCCCTGCATTGTCACGTCAACAAAAGCAAACAAAAGGTCCAAGGGAAGGAAGATGGAGATTACCCGTCCCAACTAACACTGGGACAGTAGTTCTCTTCTTAAAAGACTTACTCAGACAGACATGTATCAGATTTAAAAGTGTCAGTCACCTCAGGTTATTTGCATTTTTCTACCCAACCAAGACTAGAAACAGAGAAAAGCCTTATTACTAAAAAGCACTATCCTGAAACAAAAACATAGTAAACTGCACAGCAATGCTGCAGATGTGATCCTAAAAGGCCAGAGCTTGAACTGTGCAAGTGTTCTGATCATGGAAGGTGGCGGGCAAGGTGGGTGAGCCTGAAGGAAAGACACTCAAAAAAACCAAACAGGAGGCTGGGAGATGGGATAACGCAGAGAAGGGTGCCCTAGGGAGGTGACACAAGGCCAACCAGACTGAATAGAGAGGGGAACTCTGCTGAGCCACATCCAGCCTCACAGGTCTCAGCGAGTTCAGCGGATGACACCAAAGGTCAGCAGCAAGAAGGTGCTCCCAGCCAGGCCCTTCTCTTGCAATGCCATCAAGTCTCCAGAAGCTCAGCGTGTTAGTGACTTCACTTGGTAATTACCAATACACCAAAAGCCGTGTTTTGTAAGGCAGCACCAAGCCCTATGGAATGCCTCTGAACTAGATTAAACCACCAAGCTAGTAATTAAACTAACTTTATACGGGAAAGGTCTCTTGCTCAAACTTGAGCAATCCTGCTCATGTCAGGAAAGCAATTTTAGCACAAAAGTGGAAACAAGAAACTTCTGAGCTGCAATTTCAGCTCAGATACCACCGTTGGCACCTCTATTCTCCTACCTACAAAGTCAGGAGACTACTTCCAAGGGGTGTTAAAGGGGATTAAGATTATGAAATGCTGTGAAGATGAAAAAGACTAAGTCTCAGTCTTGTATCATCTGCAGGTAGTCTAACAGTCTCTGTTTCGGTGTCAGCAAACAAGTTTTTACCATTTCATCCAGCTAGACATTTCGAGAGCAGTCGCTGCCATAGTAGCTAAGTGTTTTTTGCCAGACAACCCATTGAAAGACTGCCTGGCATCCTGTCAAAGTGACATGCTGCTACAGCGTGTGACAGTCTGCAAGAGCCTAAAAACTTAGAACAGAAGATAATTTTTTTTCAAATTGATGAACACGATGCCTTATGACAATATTGTTTATCTCTTACATCTGGATCACAATTTGTAAACGAAATCGCTATCATGTCACATTACACTGCATAACCACATTGAGCATTTTAAGAGCTACTTTAAAAGTTGTGTGTTCATTTCTAAATACTACAAGATGCCTACATATTAGGCAAATTCCACCCCCTCCCAAAATCCACCCCAGAAAAGAGGATGTCACATAATATTTGATCCTCACAAAGTCTCAGATCATGGGGTACTCTTGCAATCACTTGACCCTGAGGAGTACAGAGTTCCGTCTGGGGAAGGCAGATTCGCCTGCAACAAACTCAATTATTACTAACACTGGCTGTTTACCAAGGTCAACTACAAAAATTGAGTTTAAAAAGAAAAGGGCATAAAAGTATTCCTGGGGGATCCTTTCACAAATGCTGTGCTGCATGTCAAAACAAGGCATTGAAAGTTCACTCTAAAAAGCAATATGATAAGTTGTGACATATGGGACCATTTATATCCATCCAGGATAAATTGGGAATAGAAAAAAACGAAAACTCTCCTAAAGCTATGTGTCTGTGAAACAAAATTTCCAGGGACAATACTGCACACAGAATCCAAAAGTGCTTCCTCTCGCCAGACAGGAATGAAAATGAAGACAGTGCATTTTGCAAAGCCATGTGAACAGCTAATTTAAAAAGTGGATTAAGTGGTGATCGAGATACTGATTCAAAATTTATATGAAGAATTTGAATAAAATATTTCTTGATGTGTACATAGAAAAAAATTAATTTTACATATGTGATTTTATGTATTTATGTGTGAATAAATAAAAACTATTTTAAGGGAACATTTGATCTACCTTCCTATATTCCTAAATTGAGTTGACCATGAAATTTGTTTTTTTTTTTAATCTTCTCATTGAAAAATGGTCAACACCTAATGTTGGATAAAGCCTTACAGCAGGGCAGATATGAAGCTAATTCTAGTTCATTCCATCACAACTTCTTTGGTAGAAACATGGGAATATGAAATTTCAAGAATTTTCTAAAACTGTGGTTTTGCAATCATTCTAAAAAACTATTTTCTGAATGATAAATGATTAAGATTCCAAATAACGATCACAAGGCACAAATACAGAGAGATGTGGAATGTGGAAATTCCTGATCTGGTGTGGGCTCTGCCTTCAACTGAGCTCAGCCCGTCTCCTGAAAGATGGTGCCCTGCGAAGCTGGCAGCTCTCCTTCATGGACAACCGTGCTGAGAATTGGGGTTTTCAATCAGTAACAGATCCAAACAAAGCTCCAGCCAGTGTTGCAGCAAAGAGCTATGCACTGAGCAGTGTTTGTGGACATCATTACATCATAGTCACACTTGATATGTTTTCTAAGGACAGTTATCTGGCAGATGGCAGGCAAGTGCCCTATGAGCGCCAGCCGAAGGTCTGCTCTAGGTACGGAAATGTCAGGACTCATTTTCACACTGATGAGCAGTTACTAGTCTAGAACTCAAACAAATGATGAAAAGGAAAGTTACCTTGTAGATCCCAAAGAACCCCAGGTCCCTTAGGACAGACAGAGCACTGACTCGGGGACCTGTGGTGATTTCTCCAGCCACTTGCAAACGGATCTTGACAATTTCCAAAGGATTTGTGAAAATCACCTGGGAGCCTCCTGCCTAAAAAAGGAGAAAAACAAAGGATTTAATATAAAGCAGGGTAGTTCAGGAAGAGATGAGTGATTCTCCTCAAAGGAGCTCAGAAGAGTCTATCCTCAGGAGACGGCAGCTTCAATCCTTGTCTCATCAAAGAAAGCAGCGATGAGCTTGAATCAAAACACAGTTACTGTCCAGGAGGCCTTGGGCCAGGCGCTGTCTTCTTCATGGGGAGACCTGAGACTTGGCCCAACATGGAGACACTTCTGTTGGTCTCATCCAAGTCCTCACACTGAAATGACAAAGGTTCCTCGAAGCACAATCAATGGCCACCACAGGACTCAAAGCCAGGCACACAAAAGCAGGAATAAAATGAAGGTCTAACAGTATCCAAATAAAGAGACGGGAGTCTGCGTGCTAGGATAGGAGTGGGGAGGGAAGACACAGGTTCTCCCACGATGTACTTCACAATTCTGTCAGGATTTCAAAAATTGCCAGAGAACATGCAAACTCAGATGAAAGCTATTTTTTCTTCTCTTAAAGAAATCAGATCGCTCATCAAACACCATTTTATGGACTTACCTATTATTACGTTTTATTTATGTATTACCTGTGTGTAGAATTGCTCTTTTCATATAAGATAAATGTCAAAGTAGTAAAAATAAGCATTAAATCAATTATGGCCCAAACTTTGAACGTGTGTTCATTCCAGCAAATGGCTGGGTGCCACACCTCCAAGATCATCAGTGGAAATCTTTAAAGTGCATGCTATAAGGGAAATTTTAAGCTAGCTATTTTGAAGCTAAGCCTATATTTATTATAAGCAATTACATTCTTTCTTACTGCCCTTCAACTTGTTATTCCTTGTCCCAAATATATTAAATTTTTATATCACCCAATCTAAGGTTGACACAGAATGTAGTTCAGAATCTTCATTATGTGGGGACATCACCAAACCAGACCGCAGACATGGGGCTGACATTTACAGGTTAGCAGATGCCATCATGGTCTCAGGCACCATTTGGGTCAATATCATACCAAACCACTTCTTGCTAGATCCAAACCTACCAACCAACGTACGTGCCCTCACAAAATGGCTTGTACTAATCAAAACCAGCTGTAAAGATGGTCTTGGACGTATTCTTTAACACGTGGAAATAAAAATTAGGGACAACATAAATATGCAATGGGAAGGGATAGATTAAATGAATTCGAGCATGTTCCTGCAATGAGATATTATGCGGCCAACAAGGTGGGAAACATTCAATACACACTGTGAAGTAAAAACTCTCATACGTAGAAATGCTTGAGTTCATTTACTCTGTCTCTCCCCCTGTGATCCCTGACCCTCACGCAGAAGAGATACACCGATGTGGTGCCTTTGAGGTGGGAGGATTACAGAAGGTTTCTTGTCTTTTCTGCTATATTTTTAAATTTCTTCTCCACAGATCATGTGTTACTTCTATTCAAAAAACATAAGAAAACTTTCATCTAATGCACATGGCAACGTTTGCCAGAAGAACAAAGAAAAATGTTCATCTACTAACTTTCTAAATCAAACAGTTTTCCATTTTTACCAACTTGATACCTTAGCTGAGACACATTTGTTCTTAAAAGCAGACTAGGATTTTCCCACCCTTCAAACATTAAAACTACTGAGAAGGCAGGACTTGCCTGTGTCTATACTGCTGCACAGACTCCCTCTCTGTACCTGCTTCTGCCACGTTGCACCCATCACCTCTATCTTTCCTGATTGACTCTAAGGACATAGGCCGAACAATCCTGGTAGAAAAAAATCTGGGCTGGATTCATCACAAGGCCCACGAAAGGCCCTTCCAAAGTGGGAAGGAGGGGTGTGCTCCTCCGGTCCACATGGAGCCACTGCGCTCCCACCGCTCCTGTGCTCAGAACAGCCACGCCCTGCTCTCCTGCAGCTGTGACCGGCAGGCAGGCGGGAGGACCAGCCCCTGCCTGTCTCCAACTCTTGGTATTTCACGATTTGCACCCGCATCTTTCCAGGTGACCCAGAGGGAGCTGTGAAGGGTGGGCGGCAGAACAAAGAGATGAAATGGACCTGGCTTAGTAACAGTGCAAAGGGCACAGTAAGGGCTATGTCTGTGCTTCTGGACCTGAGCTCTCATGCTGTGAAAATGAATATCAATTTAAAATTTAAAAACTGTTTTATGGGGGGGGCAGAAGTGGTGAAAAAAATTTGCTGAGTTGGAATTAGCTCAAGACTGATTTTTAAAAGCTCAAAAGTGGGTAAGACCATGTCTCCCAAGGGTAGGATGGAGAGCAGTCAGCGTACACGTACATGCGTTTCTTGAAGAACAGAACAAGGATGTAACACACACTCACCAAGTACTGCCAAGAGCAACTCAGGAGGCATCTGAGCATCACACATGAAGACTGAGCCTCATTCACAATTGATCAAACCACCACTTCATTTGTTATGGGGATCAAGAGATGGTGCACGTACCGCAGCGAGCACAGTGCTCGGGACACAGCAGTGACACCAAACACATCGGTTTTCTTTCCTCTAGCTGCTGAACTCATGGTTCTCCCCCTTGGTGGCATGTTACAATTGCTTGTAGAGCTTTAAGAAAGTAGTGACGTCCAGACCCTACTCCTGACAAATCAGAGTTTCTGCGTCTGCCCCTTCCTATGTGATTAAAACGTGCAGTGACAGTTGAGAATCACCTCACTTCACTACATCATCTCTAGGCTGCCCTTCAAATCTGAGAGGCTGCTTAAAGGGCTGAAAGCTGTGATTTCTAATTCCAGTTTTCCACATTCTTTCACAGAGTAATGTTTGTTTTATATCTGCTCTCATAGCAATCTTTTTATACCTATGCAAGTGGTAACAACATTAAAGGGTACGATTCATAGGCACAGAATTGCTATCTTATTCATTACCTTATATCTTAACTAATACCCATAGAAGTTAATATTATACAAAATAAAATAAGAACTTATGCTCAACTCCCCTGACTCCAAGCTAAGTGATGGATACGAATTCTTTTCGCACAGCACAGTGAAGTCTAATCACTAAGGATGATGCAAAAGTTCCCTTTGGAGAGCTGCAGGGAACACAGGCAGCAGAAAGAAAGAGGGTAGTGATACAAGAGAAAAAATAGCAATGTACTTGTTACCTCTGGTGGGCTCAAAAAGAAAGAACCTACAGACTCAAAGTGGCACACTGCAGAGGTGCTAAAGATGAATCGGTCCTTTGGAGCCCAGCTGGAAGGAAACAAGAGACTCCAAGGCACCAACAGAAGATGCTTATCATCAGATGCAGGGTGTCTGGGCACCACCACGACTTGATCACTGAGCAGCGCACTACAGCTGCTCTCCTGCCGCCCGGTCTATCACCCATTCGCAACACTTCACCCACGTCCCTCCCCTGTAGAGATCAAAGAGAGCCGAACGGTAGACAGCGGACAGGAGCGCCTATCGTACACGATGTCTCTGTGTCCCTCATCACTTGCAGGCTCTGGCTGTGTGAAGATATTCTTTTTTATTGTGTGCAATTTTGTCACAAATCATTTCCCTGTGACTTTCTGGAGTCTGTGGCAAGCAGGACAGGTGATGATTTTCCACCCTAGCCCTGGCTCCATGTGGCATGTTATATTTGCCGTGGGGACACTGACTTCTCTTCAGCTTTCTCGTATAGTCCTTGTGACTCAAATCTTAGTCACTACCTAGTATCTGGATCCATCTAAGGAGAAACAGGTACCTACTGCAGACTCATTTCTGCTACTTGATCCTTCATTCATATATTGATTCACCGAATATTTATAAGCAATTGTGTTCCAAGTTTGTCCTAGGAGCTGCAAGGACACAAGATGAGTGAAAAAGCATTCCTGTTCTCATGGAGTTGGAAACAGGAGTAGAGGTGATAAGTATTCTTCAAAAATCCATTATAGGAGAAACGTATAGTTCAGTGGTAGAGTGTGTGCTTAGGATGCACAAGGTCCTGGGTTCAATTCCCAGTAACTCCATTAAAAATAAACAAATACACCTAATTACCTCCTCCCTCCAAAAAAATTATTTTAAAAAGAATTCATTATAGCTATTAGGCCATTGCTTTGCATATATTATGTATCTTCAGTTCTACTTCAGTATTTTCCAGGTTTTCAAAGGAAACTGACACATAGAAAGATTACAGCAACTGTTACAGGCTGAATTTACTGCACCAAAATTCATATATTGACGTCTTAGCCCTCAGCACCTCAGAATGTGAATGTATTTGACAGGGCCTTTTAAGAGGTAACTAATATAAAATGGAAGAAAAAGAACGAAGCTGGAGGAATAACCCTCCCAGACTTCAGACAATACTACAGAGCTACAGTAATCAAAGTAGCGTGGTGCTGGCATAAAAACAGACATATGGATCAATGGAACAGAATAGAGAACCCAGAAATAAACTCACAGACCTATCGTCAATTAATTTTCGACAAAGGAGGCAAGAATATACAATGGAGAAAAGACAGTCTCTTTAGCAAGCAGTGTTGGGAAAACTGGACAGCAGCATGTAAATCAATGAAGTTAGAACAATCCCTCACTCCATACACAAAAAATAAACTCAAAATGGCTTAAAAACTTAAACATACAACAAGACACTATAAATCTCCTTGAAGAAAACATAGGCAAAACATTCTCTAACATAAATTTCAGCAATGCTCTCCTAGGGCAGTCTACCCAGGCAATAGAAATAAAAGCAGAAATAAACAAATGGGACCTAATTGAACTTATAAGCTTTTGCACAGCAAAAGAAACCAAAAACAAAACAGAAAGACAACCTACGGAATGAAAGAAAATGTTTGCAAAAGATGAGACTGACAAGGGCTTAATTTCCAGAATATACAAACAGCTCATACATCTCAGTAACAAAAAAAACAAACAACCCAATCAAAAAATGGACAGAAGGCCTAAACAGGCAATTCTCCAGTGAAGACATACAAATGGCCAAAGACACATGAAAAAATGCTCATTATCACTAATTATCAGAGAAATGCAAATCA